CTCCCTTCCCACCTACCAGCTGACTCATACTTAAAGTGAACGACGAAGCCAAAACTGAAGCCATTCGAACGAGGTATAAATTATTCACGCGTTCGGATCCCCAGTGGCTGAGAGGAAGGGGCGAAGGGGGGTGAATGGGGTGAGAGGAGAAAGGAGGAGGGAGGAGGAGGAATAAGAGGAGAAGGAGGAGGAAGAAGAAGAAGAGGAGGAGGAGAGGAAGAAGAGGAGGAGGGGAAGAAGAGGAGGAAGAGGAGGAGGAGGAGGAGGAGGAGGAGAAGAGGGGAGGAGAGGAGGAAGAGGAGGAGGGAAGAGAAGAGGAGAAGGAGGAGGAAGAAGAAGAGGTGAAGGAGGAGGAAGAAGGAAAAGGAGGAGTAGGAAGAAAAGAAGAAGAAGAAGGAGGAGGAGGAGGGAAAGAAGAGGAGAAAAGAGGAGGAAGAAGAAAGGCAGGAGGAGGAGGAGAAAGAGGAGCAAAGTAAGAAAAAGAATCCTAGGAGTAAGAATGAATCTATCTATCAATCTATATCTATATCTATCTATCTATCTATCTATATCCATATATATATCTATCAATTTATCTTTCATCTATCTATCTATATGAATGATATACATAGACAGATATAGATGTTGGGATGGATAGACAATAGATATATACAGATGGATAGATATAAACAGATAGATATATAGATATAAATAGAAAGATACTTAGACGGATAGATAGATAGGTGGATGGATAGCTAAAACATAGAAAAAGGAGGAAAACCTAATTTTCCTTGCCTTCCTGCGTTCTTCCTCTCTCTCCCTATCTTCCTCTCCATCTTTCTCCCTCTCTTCGCCTCTTTCTTTCTCCTCCTCCTCTTCCTCTCTCTCTCTCTCTCTCTCTCTCCTCTCTCTATTTATCTATCTTTCTAACATCATATCTTACTCTCCCTCTCCCTATCTATTTCCCTTAGCATCCTTCCCCCTCTCTCCCTCCCTCCTCCCTCCTTCCTCCCTCCCTCCTCCATCCTCCACTCCCTCCCTCTCCCTTCCACCTCTCTCCCCTCACCTCCCTTTCCTCACCTCCTCCTTCCCCCCTCCTTCCACCAAAGTGACTAAGCAAACATCCCTCCCTGGCGCCTTCGCTTGTGGCTGGCAGAATAAATACCACGGGATGCTTCGGCGCCCGTAGTCTGGCTCCGTAACCGACCTCAAAAGGGAGAGAGGCGTGGGAGGAGAGGGGTGGGGGGAGAGGGAGGGAGAGGAGGGAGAGGAAGAAGAGGGGCATGAGAGGAGGTGTGAGGGCGTGGGAGGGTTGGTGGACAGGGGGTGAGGGGGGAGAGGGAGGAGGGAGGGAGAGTGGGAGGATTTGGGGGGAGAGGGGCGAGGGCGTGGAGGAGAGGGATGAGGGAGAGGGGTGGGAGAAGGAGAGGGAAGGAGAGGGTGGGAGAGTGAATGAGAGGGGTGGTGAGAAGGGGTGAGATAGGGAGAGAGGGGATGAGAAAGGGAGAGGGAAGGTGAAAGTGAGGGGAGAGCGAGGGTTTAGGTGAGAAAGGGAGAGCGGGGGAAGGTGAGAGGGAGGAAGGAAGGACAGGGAGGGAGAGAGGTGAGAAGGAAAGTGAAAAAGGAGGAGGATTGGGGAGGGAGAAGGAGGGTGAGGGGAAGGAGAAGGTGAGAGAAGAAGGAAGAGACAGAGAGAGAGAGAGCATAAGTAAGTGGGAGGAGAGGAGATACAGACAGACAGGAAGGAGAGAGATAGAGATAGAGACAGATACAGAGAGAGAAGGCTAGAGAGAAGAGAAGAGGAAAGGAGAGGGTGGGAGGGGAAGGCGTGACAGATAGTGAGAGAAACCAGAGAGAGAGAGAAAGAGAGAGAGAGAGACTTAGAAAGAGGATAAGAGGAAGAAAGCAGTTGAAGGAAAGAAAAAGAGAAAAGGGAAAATAAGACAAGAGATGAGAGAGAGAGAGAAAGAGAAGAAGAAAGAGAAAGAAGAGATGGAGATAGATAGATAGAGAGAAGAAAGAGAGAGAGAGAACAGAAACTGACAGACAGACAGAACAGAAAACAGATTAATAGATAGATATATAGAATAGAGATAGATAGAAGAGAGAGAGAGAGAGAGAGAGAGAGGAGAGAAGAGACGAGAGAAGAGAGAGAGAGAGAGAGAGAGAGAGAGAGAGAGAGAGAGAGGAGAGAGAAGAGAGAAGTGAGAGAGAGGAGGAGAGAGAAGAGAGAACAGCAGAAGAGAAACAGAGACAGACAACAAGAACAGAAACAGAAACAGAACAGACAGAGAGAGAGAAACAGAGAGACAGACAGAGCAGATGCAGAGAAACAGAACAGAAACCGAGAGAGAGAGAGGGAGAGCGAAGGAGAAGCAGGTGCTCTCCCGCTGAGGTTTTCTGTCGCGCCAACAATGGCTGACAATACAAGCGACCGCAGGCTTCCAAGTCTTGACCCCGCGCCCTCTACCCTCCTTTCCCGAATCCTTTTTTTCTTCTCCTTCTTCTTCTGATTTTTATTCCTTTTTTTGGGGGTTGAGGGATGGGGGGGGGAGGTTGGGGGTGGGGGGGAGAGGGGGAGGAGGGGGGAGGGGGTTGGAGATGTATATTTAGAATTTATGGATTTGTTTATTTTTGAAGGTGTTTTTTTTGTTGTTGTTGTTGTTGTTTTGAAGGTGTTTGTGGGTTGGAAATTCGTGTGTGTGTGTGTGTGTGTGTGTGTGTGTGTGTTGTGTTGTGTGTGTGTGTGTGTGTGTGTGTGTGTGTGTGTGTGTGTGTGTGTGTGTGTGTGTGTGTGTTGTGTGTGTGTGTGTGTGTGTGTGTGTGTGCGTACCCTCTCTTTCTCTCTTCTTTTTTTCTGTCTGTTTGTCTGTAAATATCTACCTTTTTTCTATATCTATTTTATCTGTAAGAATATACATCTATCTGACGATCTCCCTCTCCTCTACTTTATCTATCTATCTAGCTATTTATATATCTATATCTCGCGATCTGTCATGTCTATCTATCTATCTATCTATCTATCTATTCTCTATCCCCTCCCCCTCCCCTCCCCCCCCCCTCTCTCTCTCGTAAGCCTCCAATTCCAAAATAAAATTTGATTCTAAAAAAAAAAAATATTTCCACGAACTCGAAAAAAATATAGAAAAAAAAAACTTCTGATATATGTACACACATTTTCAGCTTTTTTTCCTAATTGGTAACGAGAAATAAATAAATAAATTCAAATATTTCGGATATTCCACAGAACGGGGTAAAAAAAAAAAAAAAAAAGTTACACGATATATATATATTTTTTTCCATTTTTTTTTTCTTTTTGTCAAACCTGAATTTCCATCATTAATTCGACCCCATAATCATGTACATCTTTTCAGGTATTTTTGAAAGTACAAAAAAGAAAAAAAAAAAAAGGTTATATGATTTGTAGCGGTTTATATTTACGCATATAAATATTGAGCGAAATATGATTGGGCAAAAAAGAGAAAAAAATGTGATAAATAGGAAAAAGTAGAGGAAAAAAGGGAGAAAGTAGACGCACATACATGCATATACACACATACACACACAATCGCACACGCACACACACACATACACACACACACACACACACACACACCACACACACACACACACACACACACACACACACACACACACACCACACACACACACACACACACACACACACACACACACACACACACACACACCCACACACACAACACACACTCATTTAAGATTCGGGTTAAACTGAAAATAAAACAACGAAAAGGAAGAACAAGAGAAGAAAAAGAAACTAGAAGACATAAAATAAGAAAACAAGCGACGACCGAACAGACAATTAGATCAATAACATTACTATAACATTTAAATCATATTTGAAATATATTCACCAAGTTAAGTCTCCTGATTTCGCGTATTTTCGCAATAAGAAAAAAACGTCTCTAGCAGTTCTCTCTCTCTTCTCTCTCTCTCTCTCTCTCTCTCTCTCTCTCTCTCTCTCTCTCTTCTCTCTCTCTCTCTCTCTCTCTCTCTCTCTCTCTCTCTCTCTCGGTGCAACACGCATTAATGAAAAAAGATTCTCCTCTTTCGCTCAAAGAATATTGCAAAACGCATTTGGAAATGGCGCCAAAAAGGAGGTCTGCGCACCAGCTGTTCGTATTAAAATGAAGAAGGAAAAAATATTGATTTTTCTTTGAAGAGTACCCAATAAAGTGCACACACAGACGCGCAAACACACACACACACACACACACACACACACACACACCACACACACACACACACACACACACACACACACACACACACACACACACACACACTTACATATATACATATATATATATATACGTATATTTCATTCTTTTAATTAGAAAACAAAACCAAGACCTGAAACCCAATAATTTTCTAGTTCAGCTAATAACATTTTACAGATCATACAGCCTCAAAGAATAAAAACAACAGCGTAACGCCGCACATTATCATAAGTGACGGAACCGAAACTAGTGCTATCACATAAGTTTTTTGCGCAGGCTCGGCGATAAATATTCATCAAATGGTCAGGAGCGAGGCGTTCTCACAAGAAATACCAAATCACGTAGACCGCGCGGCTGCAACACGCGCAAGGCACAGAGGGCGGAAGCGACGCTGGACAGGGGAGGCGTGTTCGGGNTATTCATATGTGTGTCGACATCCATGTATATTTGAGCTTTACTCACTGTTCTAATAATTTTTTGTATAAACGCATAGGCTTATATATGTATAAGACTTATATATATATATATATATATATATATATATATATATATATATATATATAAATGAGTGTGATTGAAAAAATACGTACACATTTTGTCAGGGTTGGAGTTTCCATGAAACATCCACATTCATTACCATATTTATTTAGAAAAACGGTATATTTTCAGTAATGTAAAAAAACAACATTACATTTACAAAGGACACATGTACATAAACGTTTCACATAATCTTTTAATACCAAAAATATATTTTAGAATAGATTACGGTCTATAGAAATTGCAGCTCTCAGGAAACCAGTGCAGACTGGTACTTATTGCACAGCTTATGCTTGATGCAGGAACCGGTTCTGAATCTTGGGATCCTGAATCCTCAAAGTCTCCAGCGCCCTTCAGCCCTCCACCTCTGCCCATGCCAGGATAGGACTCCATCCTACTGGGCACTCCTGCGGTCGCGCTGGCCAGGGCGTCTCCCTTCTTCTCGGAGACGATCGTCAGGATTCCGTCCGAGGACAACACGCAGCTGACGGCGTCTCGCTCGACGAGCTCAGGCAAGGCGAAGCGACGCACGAAGCTCACTCGGGACACTCTGCCTCCGTCCTGCCTCTCTGCTTGACCCTCCACCAGCAGCTCCTTTCCTTCCACCAACCGCACTGTCACGTCGCCGCCAAGGAAGTCCAACACGTCCATCACGATCTGAGGAGAAGTACAGGTTAGGCGGCTGCTTAAGGCGCTTAATGCTATGATATGATGAACTGAGTCATTGGAATGAAGTCAACACGTCCCTCACAATCCTTTGGCCAGCCATGTGTGATAAATAATGACATATGATAAAAGAAGCGACACCTAACAAAGCCATGAATTACCTGATGTGATTCTGAATCCTCTGAGACACCTACTGCTTGATTTTCTAAACTGACTTTCTGCTGACGAAGTTTCCTGTACTTGTCCAAGGCGTCACTTCCACAGGACCATTCATTGGCCTTTTCCAAAACTTGTCTCACAGCCTGACTGTAGTTACGACGAACATTCTCGAAGCAGCAATCGTCAGCAAACAGGCCCTTCCTGACGATGGCCAAGTTCCTGCTTTCGCAATCCAATCCTGAACTCTTCAAAGCACACTTGCTCCTGGAATCCCCCGCTGAGGATTCCCTCTTCCACGCATGTGAATCTTCATCATCCCCGAAGGAAACGCCATAGGAATTTCCAGGCCGTCTCACGATGAATGTGTATCCTTCCTCGTCGTCATCGTCTGACGTGGGGCTCAGCAGGTCTGCAGATGAGCCTTTCTTTTCAGCTTCGTCTGGAGACACGAGCACATCTGCCGGGCTTCCTCCGTGACCGGCGCGAACTGCCTCTTCCTCCTTACTTTCCAACTGAACTGGAACAACGGCTTCCTTCCTTTGGCACTTCTGTGGAACAAAGCAATGTGTCAACAATGGCTTATCGTTATTATACATATTATTTTTAAAATTTGTCATATGTGTCATGAGGTAAATAGAATTGGTGATCATAAAAGAAATCTACAACAAAAGGAATATGGTTGATGGTGAAATTGCATAATTTTGAAGATAGATATTTGAGTTGAAAGATTAGAGGAAATTCCAAAGTAGAGCCACCTTCTTCGGAGCCGAAACTGTCAGCACGCCGTCAGAAGACATGACCGAAGTGACGGCCTCCACCTCAATGTCTCCAGGAACAACGAAGCGCCGAAGGAACTGCTTGCTGGACTTGGAACCGTCTTCCTTCTTCTCCAAGTGACCTTCGACCACCAACTCTCGCTCGTTCACAGCCTTCACGCTGACCTCGCCACCGTCCATAAAATCATGAACATCCATAACAAACTGAAAATACATGGAAAGGTTAATCAACATTTACAAATTTATTTAACGGAATTCATTTTATTTCTAAAAAAAAAAAAAAAAAAAAAAAAAAAAAAAAAAAAAAAAAAAAAAATCAGAATTTCCCTAAAGTGAATAGAATTTTCGACGTATGGAAATGTTTTTCTCAGTGGCCGCTAAGAAGGGACTTCGAAGCCACTCACCTTATGACCTGTTTTGTCTGACGTGACAGTGACGGCGAGGTTTTCTTCCAGGTGACGGGATCGAAGCTCTCTGTATCGCTCCAGGATATCTTTGTAGTGAAAACCCACGTCGTCCCAAGTGTCTGTCCACTCGAGCTCATTGCTGCTCCACCTGTTCAAGACCTTCCTTATGGCGGCGTCAAACTTTGTGTGCATGTCGGAGAAGAAGGAGTCCT